AGAGTGTTTTGTTATGGCAATTAAAATCAAACTCAAACAGAAATCAGTACCAGGAGTGGGTTATTACTGTGACAGACCTGACCTTGATGTGTAGGGGAAGATTGTGGAAGCATTTGGAACTTTGGGCTGAAAAAGCCATTGAGTGCTCAGAGTTTGTTGCTGGTGGAGCTTGGAACAGTTATGTTTAAAGAGCTGTAGACAATAGAGGCCTGGCTTATGAAGCTTCATGGGGAAGCAGAGACTATCAGGGCTATTTGTGTGATATTTGGATTTGAGAATCTGTGGTTTCTGGTCATCTGGGGCTGAAGAATGGGCTATGATTAAGAAGAGACCAGAACCACTGAAGTGAAACCTTTGCTTTACTGGGACAATTGATACTGGTTAGCTGGGGCTGACAAATCAGCTATAAGTAACAAGAGACTGGCATCACTGCAGCAAAATCTTCTGGAAAGTATTTCCTCAGGGTGAGCATACAGAAGCTATGGGCCCAAGCCTCCATCTCAAACTGAAAGCAGGACTTGGTAATGTGTAAGAGTCTCCTGCATGGTTCTGGTGTTGAAAGTGTGAAGGGGTCACAGAGAGCAGCTGAGGCTTGGCACCCTGAGAAGCCAGGAAAGGTCAGGGTGAAAGTGCAGTCTGAGTTGCAGTGAAGACCTTCAGGATTGAAAGAGTCATGGAATCTGAGGCTTTGCACCCCTACAGGCCAAAAGAGTTCATTAGTGAAAGGGCAGCCTCAGTTTCAATGGAGAACCCAGCTTTGTGGAGATGCCAAGACCATGGGACGACCATCAAGGGCAGCAGCAGGTGTGGAATGAAGCTGGCCTGGGCCTTCGTGACGAGCTGTGTGTGGACAGCAGAGTCAGAGAAATGGCACTGCCTAAACCCTTTGGAGCCCAGAAGATCATGAGTGAATCCTAGATGTCCATCCTTGAGCTACTTTGCTGGACTTAGGTTTTGCTTAGGTGTGCCCAATTCTTCCCTTTTGAAATAAAACAGTATTTGTTTTGGATTTTATAGTAGCCCACAGTTAAGAGATTTTTAAAAGAGACTATGAACTTTTAAGTGTTTGGATTTTTTAAGGACTGTGGGACTTTTAAGTTTGTACTGTCTTGTGGTGATATTGTTAACATCATATCTTGGGGACAAGAAATGGAAAGGTTATGGTTTAATAGTTTGTATGTCAAGTTGACAAGGGGTCAGTTGTGCTGGTTAGCTTTAGTGTCAACTTAACACACTTGGGAAGAAGGAACCTCAATTGAACTGGCCTGTGGCCATGTCTGTGGGGTGTTTTCTTAGTTTTTGAGTGATGTGGGAGAACCCAGCCCAATGTGGGCAGTGCCACCCCTAGGCAGGTTGTTCTGCATTGTATAAGAAAGCAGACTGACCATGGGGCAAGGGACCAAGCAAGTAAGCAGCTTTCTTCCATGGCCTGTGCTCCAACTCCTGCCTCCAGGTTTCTGCTCTGAGTTCCTACCTTGGGCTCCCTGATGAATTGTGACCTGGGAGATGTAAGCCAAATAAACCCTTTCCTCCCCAAGTTGGTATTGGTCAGAGTGTTTTGTCACAGAAACTGGGGGAAAACTAGAGCAAATGGATTAGGTATTACAAAGTTTTAAAAGAAATAAAAAGGAAATAACTGTACCACGGAGAAAACATCTGCCACTGAAATATCAAAAAATTTGACTATAACTAAAGTGAAACCCTCTTGAGATATTTGGCAGAAATGATTTGGAGGCAATGTTTAAAGTGACATATCTCTTTCTCTAAAATTATAACTGGTTTTCTGTATGATTTCACAAATAATGGTCAGATAGATAAATTACCTTAAATATTATATATTCTAAGTATGTCTCTTGCAAAGCACAGGGAGGAAATTCAACCAAAGAAAGAATTAAGAGCTTTAGGGACTGGAGAGATTGCTCAGTGGTTAGGAGCACTCATTGATCTAGAAGACCTAAGTTCAGTTCCTAGAGCCCATGTTGAGTGACTCACAATCTGTAACTCTAGTTCCAGGGCATTGAAGCTGCCTTCTGTCTTCTGCAGGTGCCTGCATACACATAGCACACACACACATAGACACACACATTTTTTAAAATAGAAGAATATTTAAAAGTTTTAATAAACATGGAATCCTTTGAGTCTTTACTTATTAATCTCATATAATTCATGAAAATATTTAGGCAACTTAACTCCATGGATTACTAAAATAACATTTGTAGTCAGACACTTGCCAAAACAAAATGCAAGAGAGGACAATAGCCCAGGACAAACTTTAGATTTCATGTGACTTACATTCTAACTATCTGAATTCCCTGTAGTCTGTCATCCTAGTTATATGCTTGTAATCCATTTTACAAATAAAGTGTCTTCAGCCTAGCAATGAATCATAACTGATTGACAGTTTATTTTATAGACAAATCAAAGAGCGATATATTACATGTCTTTTTCCCCATGTAGTCTACCTCCCACCATAGAAAAATCACTTTTAAATAATACTTATCTTAAAACCATTGAAGTATCCTGAATATTAATATATGCATCTATTGGAATTGGCTTTGGTTTGGGGGTTTCTAATCAAGTAAGAACACAATTCTTTACAGCTCCCTAACTTGTTCACTACTTGTAAGAATGTGGCCCTTCACATGGTAGGGTGCCTTGTATATGAACACTAAGTCATTATATGCCGAAGTGGTCAGTTCTAGATTTTTTGCTCATGCTTTCTAACAAGAACATCTGTAAAGGAAGTTGTATCACCAAAAATTCCCTCCCCATCATGAATGATGGCCTCATGGAAGTGGCATCACAGAGTCTCCCTTTCCGTTAAGTTTCTGCCCTTATACTCTAGCATCTCTCAAGGTCACTTGCAACTAGGGGAGAGAAGGAAGGATAATAGCTGGAATGTCAGGTGAGGCCTTCCTTGTGCCCCTCCCACTTCTACAAAGCGTTATCAGTATTCTAATACTATTAGCTTAGACCTCTCTGTTACTGTATTGTTCTGCTCAATTAGTTACAAGGGCTACTTGGTAAAGATAATGGCAACAGGTTGAACATATTATGCATGAAGGAAAAAAGGCCACAGTGAACTTCCTGTCCTGTGTGGCATTCTCTGGAGTCATTGAGCTACTCAAAGTAACTCTTTAAGTGCATCCTGCTCTTCCTCACCATGGTGGATTTTCTGCCACTTTGACTTTCCCTTTTGGTTGCTCCCACCAGCACATTGCCCTCCCTACCACTTAAGTACAACCGACTCATTCTCACCATGGATCATTTTTCTACGTTCTGGACTTGGCTGCAGATTTTCTTTATTAACATTCTACCATTCATTAGCTCCCGTGGACTATCTGTCTGACCTTCAGTTGCTTCTTCTTTACGATGATCCTAAAGTATGATGCCTAATATTCGTATAGTCTAGGAGTCTATAAATAATCACCACAAAAAGCAAAGCAAAACAAAACAAAACCAAACAAAAACAAGTGCCCCTCAAAGAATGCCGTTCTGGAACTATGGGGTACAAAATGACATGAGCTTCCTTCATAGTGTGTTCTTACCTTTTCCTCTTTTATTTCCTAATTTTCATTTTTAAGATTTCTGTAGAATTGGGTGGTGACTGTAATGATGAATCCATTAATCGTGAATGAATCCATAATCATTAATCCATTTAAATGCCATCATTCTGCTCTTTGTGTTACATGTCTCGGGTGTTGGTTTCAGGGACTCGGGTTCTCATCAGATGTTCGTGAGCAAGTAGGCACATCACCAGTACTATTCTTGGTGATGGTTATGTCCAAGAAACCATATAGAATATCTATATTCACTTGATTAGAAAATTTGGTTTGAACTGGACTGTGGAAGTATACGCTTGTAATTCAACACTCACAATGCTGAGGTGGGAGTATCACAAATTCAAGGTCAGCCTGAGCTACCAAACAAGACTCTATCCTAAAAGATAAGAAAAATGAAATAAATTAAACTAAATAAAATAGCTTATGACTATCCAAATTAAGAAAAAACTCATAGGGGGTAGAGAGATGATTCAGTGATTGAAAGCATTGGATCCTCTTTCAGAGGACCCAGGTTCAGTTCCCAGCACCCTCATGGCAGCTAACGACCACTCCTAACTTCATTTCAGGGGTCTGACACCCTCTTCTGGCTTCCTCAGCCATTGCACAAGTGCACATACATACATGCAGGTAAAATACTCATATGCGTAAAATAAAATAATAAAATATTTTTAAAACAAATAACAGAGATTTTAGAAATTCTTTTGTCAAATTATTCATGCTAGGAAATACTGGGGAGTCCAGGGTCCCAAGAAAGTGAAAGGGTTCTCATCCTCTTCCAAGTAGAATGCTACCTGAGTTTGCTTGTCTTTCCCTTTTCCTCCAGGACAGGTCACTCTGACACATTTTTCCCACATCCCCACTCTAGTGTAGTTGAGGTTGCTGTAGCAACAGCACACACAGGGTAACATTCCCCGCAAGTACTGTGGGCTGGAACACAAGCCAGTTGAAACATTTCACGGAGATTTTATTAGTATATGATGCAGTGCTATGTCATCTACAGCTTCAAGATGATGCGGATCACTGGATGCTAATCACCTACAAATGTTAGATTACCCAGGGTCCTCTCACAGAAGCTGTTGCTGTAGCTGGCTCTTTCCATAGCACCCCTGACTAATATCTACAAAAAGAAGGTCAAGAGTAAAACCCAGGCCCATTGGGTTTTTACTCTAACACATCTTTGGTGCCTAAAAAGCAATAGTAACATTGGCTGGCAATCAAGGATCCCTTCATTTTACCCAAGGAGATGGACACTGATTAACAACCTAGAAAACATGTCTTCAGCCAGTGGTTCGGAAGAACAAATACTGAAGAACAGAGATGGAATTACTGTGATTCTTAATGGCATTTTATTGCAATGGAACTTACCATTTAATACTGATCAAAAGTGGTCAGAGTGTTATTGGAGACTTCTAACACTGGATTTGATTTATTTTTCAGACATGGAGATGACTTGATTGTGACTCCATTTGCTCAGGTAAGCACAGCTTGGTGCACACACAGGCTTCTCACAGGTTCACGTTGTTTAATTGGGCATTTTATTCTGGTCCTTAAAGTAGCTTTAGATCAAACAGATGTATAAATACACATTCTGTGGCTCATTCAAGTAATGCAGAAATAGAATGTGTGTGATCTTGGTGCTGTAGGTGTGATTTTCTTTCTTTTTTTTTTTTCTTTTTTTTTTTTTTTTTGTTTTTTTGTCTTTTTGAGACAGGGTCTCCCTGTAGCCCTAAAAGATTGGTGGTGTTTTTGTTGTGTGTGTGGTTTTTTTTTTTTTTTTTTTTTTTTTTTTTTTTTTTTTTTTTTGGTCATTTTGAGACAGGGTCTCCCTGTAGCCCCACTGGCCTGGAACTCACTATGTAGATCAGGCTGACCTTGAACTCTCACCTGCCTCTGCCTCCCATGTGCTGGGACTAAAAGCATGCATGCACCTCCATGCCCAGCTCAAGATTTGCATTTTATAAGCCTGTTAGAACCAAGGAATATCTTTGCTTCAAATAACAAGTTACCTAAGGGAAATAGTCTTTAATAGGCCCATATTTCCCAGCATAAGCACTAGAAACAGAAGACTATATCATATTTTAAATTACATTTAGTATAATTAGGTACATGATCCATGCTGGAAATTCAATAGTCTACTTCAACTTGATATTTTACTCCTTTTTCACATGTGTCATTTTGCACAAAGATTTAGTTTGGTAATACATCTATGTGTTTTAGGTATACAAAAATTAAAATACTTTAATTACATAGATACAAGACTATAAAATGACTTAAAGAGGCTGGAGAGATGGCTCAGCGGGTAAAAACATTGGCTGTTCTTGCAGAAGACCCAGGTTCAGATCTCAGTACCCACATGGCAGCTAACAACTGTCCATAGCTACAGTTCCAGGGGATCTGACAGGCCCTTCTGTCCTCTGAGGGCATTGCACAACATGGGTGTGCTTACCTACATGCAGGAAATACATGCATACACATAAAATAAAAATAACAAATACAATATTTTAAAAAATATTGTTTGATATTTTTATTTTCTGTGTCTGTATTGCCTACATGTGTATAAATGCACCTGTGTCATGACCCACAGAGATCAGAAGAGGGCATTGGATCCCCTGAAACTGGAGTCAAAAGAGGGCATTGGATCTCCTGGAACTGGAGTTATGGATGGTTAGCCACCATGTGGGTGCTGGGAATCAAACCTGGGTCCTCTGCAAGAACAGAGCCATCCTCCAGCCCCAAGAGGACCCCTTCTTTGTAAAACAAAGTCTAGGATGGTACCCATGTTAATGTCAGTTTATCACTTTGAATATTAGATGACCATAATGTTGCCTTCAAAAACACATTTTACCAGTGTATATAGCCTGAGAGAGAGGGGGGGGGAGGGAGAGACAGAGAGAGAGAGAGAGAGAGAGAGAGAGAGAGAGAGAGAGAGAGAAAGGAGACAATGTCTAGCTAGTATAAAAAAATCAGAGGAACAAGCACTGGGGAATGGCTGGAGGTGCTGACAACACAGTGGACAGTAACAGGGATGACAGAGTATATGGGTCCAGTGTGTGTGTGGGGGGAGGCTATGGGAGGGTTTCATTTGGGAAGTGGGTATATAGATGAATAAGATTGTGTGGGATGTTCTGTATGATAAACACACAAAAAATCAATAAATTTAAAAAAGGCTTATATTTGAGGAGGAAGCATAAAAATTTACTTCATGTTAAATAGTAGAGGTGATAAACATTACCAGTGAAATCTA